TAATAACTACATTAAGAAACTTCTTGACGTAGCGGTTTATGTGGACGACAGTTCAATCTGGCATGCAGCGAATAACTGCGGTACGGTTAGAACGAGAATGCAAGAAGCCTAAGACAAATTGTCGATATGGTCTATATAATGACTGGGGATTTCGAATATCTGAAAGTAAAACAGTAGGCATATTCTTCTGTGGGGATCATACGGAAGTGTCGTCTATGAAACTGGAATTGAACAATATCTCAAAATTTTGAAGGGTTTATTGAAGTTTGGTATCTTCCATTAAACTTCGTATTATTGTACACAGTGATGACATCACTGGGTTAAATTTATAGTCGGTAATTAAATCCTTGGTTCTTAACTTTTAAACTTTGAAGTCTTGAACTTTTAATTAATTTTTAACCATAATATGTAACTTACTGTACGAACACTTTAAATATTCAAATATTCTACGGGTCCAGTTATGTGGTTTTCACTGCGAGCACTTCGCTTTTCCACATAAAGCCAGCGGATTCTTTTTCCCCACGGATTTTTTTCTAGCCGCTCTGATGACGCCAAACATCAGTCAGCTGGACCTCCTGTTTTAACTTTATTATAACAAAGGGAGAAGATGACCCATCCTCTCTTCTCACGACAGTGAGTTAACAAGTTTGTTTTAAAGAACTTTTGATATCAGAAAACTTTTTTATTTTGTGTTTTAACAATTTTCAAGTGTAAATAATTTAATTAAATCAACCTGTCCATAATATCATATTTATTGTATTGGACGTTAAATCTGTAATAAACAACAACAACAATTTGGTTGTATCATTCCTTGACAGCGGTGAGAGTATCCTCGTTGAAATGTTGCAACTAATACACCTCTAGAGAATGTTATCCATAAAGCTGTCTGTTTAATATCTTTGGGGTATAACCATGAATTTTAAGTTTCATCAAAATTGGATCAAAATTGTGACCTATAAGGTCCACAACCTTGATATACTAGATGTTTACACTATTTGCGTACGAGGGGCGGCCATTTTGTCGGGTAGTTTTGACCGATTCTCACGAAATTCGAACTCAACCAACATTACGGTGTAACTGTGATATAATATTAATATTCGAACGTTTTTGTAAATCGGAAAATAATTGTAACATCTAGAGAGAGACCACAAGCTAAAAACGCGATTTTTCGTAGAACCAGGGACCATAATTTAGGAAGTTGGGTCCGATGTGCGCGAATATCGATAGGAACCAAGATCTTTGGGTTATAAACATGCATTTCAAGTTTCATCAAAATCGGATCAAAATTGTGACCTCTAGAGGGTCCACAACCTTGATATAGCAGATGTTTACACTATTTTGCGTACTAGGGGCGGCCATTTTGTCCGGCAGTTTTGGTCCGATTTTCACGAAATTCGAACTCAACCAAAATTACGGTGTAGCGGTGATATATTCGAGCGCTTTTTTTTTTAAATCAGATAACAATTGTGACCTCTAGAGGGACCACAAGTTAAAAACGCGATTTTTCGTACAATCAGGGCCATAATTAAGAAAGTTACGATCTGATATGCGCGAATGAAGTTTTGGTCCGATAAATAATTGTGTCCTGTAGAGTGTCCACAAACAAATTGTGGACGGACGGACGGACGGGCGTCCGGACGGACAGGGGCGACGGCATAATACGTCCACGTGAAAATGTGGGAGTATAAAAAAACTCTATGACGTCGTGTTTTGATTAGCCAATATGGAATGAAATATTCGACTGCTCAGTAAAGTTAACTAATCGTGACCCTCGCAACTGGGGGGCTCTTAAAGATACATTCCCGCGTACAAACTGGGTGATCTAATGGTATATATGGACTAAAAACATATTCAAACTAATTAATTTGTCATAATTTTGCTTGAAATCCTTCTCAAGCATTATAATTGCCAAGGAATGCCCTGCTATAAAAATTCGATCAAAAGAGGTCATGTTTGTGTCACGTGACTTACCTCTCTCGGAAGTCAGAGGAGAATTCATTGCTTACACAAGACAATGCTGTCTTTAATCGCTTACTATTTATTACAAATATCGAATCCTAATTAAATTCTCAGATTATCCACTGCCCGCGTCTTTTTCCGTGATTTTTATCTCAGAAAGTGTTGTACGTCTAACTCTTCATAAAGTTTATCAACTTGTACATCAAGCGCTCAATGTTCGCGTGTAACCTTTGTTGACATCACGCGTGCAGATATTCCTAATCGTCGGGCTGTCGATTAGGGGAACCCTTACATTTTTGTCCTGTATACGCTCGATGGGTGTTTTTCAGGGAATCCAGTATTTTTCTAGTAAGATTGGATATTTCTATTTTCCATATATACCAAATTGCCATACTTTTATTGGAAATAACCACCCGATAAAAACTTTTCTGGGAATCTATCTTTAAGTCTTAACCGAGGGATCAGAGTGAATAGCAGGTTTTTTTTTCTGAAAGTCTACGTTCTACTTCTAGAAGCCTCATTTCTATATTAAAATCAGGTCTCTTCAAGTTACGTCACTATATCTAACTGAACAGTTACTTGCGTGCAATAACCTGGAGAAAAGTTGATAAGCCGTGAGAAATTTAAGGTTTTCAAAAAAAAAAAAAAAATGCAAATCACGCATCGTATATATCAATTACAAAAAGTTCAATATTATAATTTGTATCCTGGATTGTATCATTAATGTAAGCCAAGAAAAGTAGGATCGCAACGCAGGGAGTCCCGTTGTCTACTCCAGATTTCACTCCACGGATGACAATTGATTTATATGTATTTCTATATCCTAAGTAAGATATTAATTTCTATATAGTCTAGTTTGGTCCCTTTAAATACCTTTATGCCAAGGGGGATTGGGTCGCCGAATAGTTTAACGCGAGCGCGTTGGATCATATTATGTAATGTCTGTCATTGAGTCAAGTTCTCCCATGCAGACTGAAGAACATCATCGTGGTGTAAAAAATAAATATTCCGGTTTAATTTTGTACAAGGGTTCTTTCATGGTTGGAATAAAGGTTGGCGAGTGTTTTCCATTTCATTTAACATGTCGGTATTGATCCGGCAACTACTTTCATATTAACGCGATAGAGGGTATACAGTTTTTAACGGGTTGTTTAGGGTCATGAGTCAACTGACCCTCTCGATTTTAGGGGTTCCAGTCTTTTACGGATTTGTTTTGAAATTTCAATGAAAGGAAATTTTCACAACCATCTGTTCCATCTGGTGGACTCGATCATTTTGGCAACAGTTTTTAACACATTTTTTTAAAATCTTTTTTTGAAGGATTTGTTTCTTTTCAAATTCGGTGTGAAGCATTTGGATCCGACGAACGCTATTGATACTCGGCGTTCCGCGGCCTCCCGTTCTGCAATGTCACCTTTTCCGCCGCTAAAATCGGTCTCGGCAATTTGTAGAAAATTTTAATTAAAGTTTGAAAGTAAAGTAATATAGCAGATCCTCCAGTTTTTGGGGGTTTTTTTTGGAAAATCTGTAGCATGGAATAGCCATAGTTGTCGAAAGTTCGTTGGAATTGTGAATTTATGCTACAAAACGGGATTGACCTTTGAGATAAATTAATTTTATTCTACATCTGACCATGGTAAATTTCAATATTTATACTGTTTACCTTCACGCGTATACATGTCACACTTTAAACTATGGTAATGTTAATATCAATTACACTGAGGCGTGTCAAGACATTCTCCATGTCCAACCCAATTTTTCAACGCTCTGTCTTGCCTTATATTTCAATACTTTATAATTAGGCAATTAAAAGGAACGACCGTGCTGAGTTGAAAACGTTTTCAATTTTCAAGAAGATCCATGTTATTTTAGAATGTGCTGAAAATATACAATTGGAGTTTGTGCGATAAAACTAGTTTTTAAATAATAACATACTAAACGATCATTTAAGGCACAAAACGGCTCGTTCATATTTATCTCAAAGGTCAAAAATATGTATTATTTTAATATAAAGGTCGCTGCTACAAGCACGTCCAAATTACCTTACTTTATTTAGAAAAGACATCTAAAACAACAATGAAATACAGAAATCTATTAGACTTTTTAGAACTATATATTATAACAGATTATGTAATATTCGCTTTCAGAAATAACTGGGATCGGATACCAACTGGAGTAATTTCTATAAATATATTATAGTTGGCTCATACTTCTTCTTTGACAGTAGCAGATTTATTTGATCAATAAACAAACCTAAGTAGGCCTATATCTTATCAGGGAGGGTATATTTTTTAGTATCGGACTGTACATACTATCAAAATAAACATTATTAGCCACCCAGTCTAATAATTCAACATTGGGATAAATCTTATGTAATATTTACACATAGGCCAACATCCAAAAATAGGCCCTGGCCTGCACACGATATCTAAGCTCTCAAAAGCAATTAAACAAGATTTGTTTAGAAATACCAGTACTGAATCGGTCGGTTTGGGATTGGGAGGAGGGGGTTGGGTGAATTCCATAGATTTAATCATTGATGAAATTATTCTATAACCGAATTAAAACACAATTGATCAGTTTCGTCAGAAAAATTGACGACCCCGATCATTAATAATTCTTTTAACGGATATGGTTGCAGTGGTTTGTTACTTCATGAAGGTGAATATAATAATAATATAATTTTCACCCCTCAGACCGAGAGTTTAAATTACAAAATAAACATTCAAAGGTATAGAAAGTTTATTACGGTTCGTGCTCCGACACGATATTGTCATCATATCTTAGTTGTCATTTACAGTGTATGTACAAGCTACTTGAACTAAATTTACTGGTTTGGGTTATCAACACAAGGTAATAAATCTCTTATCAGTTTTGCAGTGTTCACACCAAGGTGTGACATTGGCCCAAATTCCAAAGTTCAACCAATTTCTTAATCATCAAAGAGGTGTTAAAAGTCAGCACTAAATTCCCACGATCAGTTCAAGTTGTTCATTCATTGGATAATTAACTGTTAATCATTCAAACAAAACGTAAACAAAAGAAAGGGCGTGGCTTAAGTCACGTTACCTAATTTGCATACTTATCGGAACGTACCCAGAAAGGAAACGCATGCGCGACGTCATTTCTGGCAGAAGACAGTTTTGGGAGAATGACTCGAGGTACCTGTCAAGAATCAAGAGTGGTGATGGATGCCAGCGGAGAAAAACCGACAGTTCAGGGGGTTGCTGGTGCTCCTAACGAAGCAGCACTTCTTACATTAATGGAAAGGACTGGATATAGTATGATTCAAGAAAATGGACAGAGAAAATACGGAGGTCCACCGCCAGGATGGGAAGGTGGTCAGCCCCAAAGAGGATCTGAAATATTTATCGGTAAAATTCCAAGAGATTGTTTCGAAGATGAACTTGTTCCAGTTTTTGAAAGAATGGGCAAAGTTTACGAATTCAGATTAATGATGGATTTTAGCGGTTCAAACAGAGGATATGCATTCTGTATGTACACAAACAGACAAGACGCTCAACGAGCAATAAAGGAATTAAATAATTTTGAAGTACGGAAAGGTCGTCTGCTTGGAGTTTGCGCAAGTGTTGACAATTGTCGCTTATTTGTTGGAGGTATTCCCAAAAATAAACAAAGAGATGAAATTAAACAAGAAATGGAAAAGGTTACCGATGGAGTCATGAAAGTTATTGTTTATCCCAGCGTCTTGGATAAAACTAAAAATCGTGGATTTGCATTTGTGGAGTACAGTTCGCATCGAGACGCGGCGATGGCCCGTAGAAAGTTAATACCTGGCAGAATTCAACTTTGGGGACATCAGATAGCAGTTGATTGGGCCGAACCCGAACAAGATGTTGATGAGGATATCATGTCAAATGTATGATAATATGATTATATCTAAGCGATATTTAAATTATGGGAAATATTTTACTTTAAAAAAAGAAAAAAAGCCCATAATTTTAACTTACACACGTTTAGAAAAATATAGGCTAGAAAATTGTATCAATTACTTAGATTTAGATTCTAAAAGACTAGCCTATAGGCCCACTACCAGGTGGCTGTATAGGCCTAACTGAACCTTATTTATTGGTCAGTTCATAAATAATAATTAGACAATCAAAATCAAATGTAGGGCCTATAGTCGATTAGAATGATAAAGTTGGTTATCATGTCCGTACTTAGCCCCCCCCCTCCCCCTCCCCCAAGGTAGATCTGTTTGGAAATGGAATACAAATTATTACTGCATGTCATGTAGTTCATTTTACTTATGATTGGCCTAAGTCCATATTTATTTAGTTGACCATAGATAAAATATGATGTAGACTAGACTATTTAGTATTTAAATGATATTTAGGTGTATTGTTTGAACATCGAATCAATAGATAGAATAAATTAATTTAACAAGAACAAAGTTAGTAATTTACGAGAAAAGTCAAACCAATGAAAAATTATATAATTTCAGGCCTCCCTTATTTTAGAGTTTTGGGTGTCATTTTGCAACAGTGTTGCTTTCTGCTACTAACTATGTTCATCCCTCACTATTCTGTAACCATTCCCAGTGTTAACTGTACACCACTAACTTCATTATGATTATGAATAAGCTTTGGTAACACTTTTGAAATTATGCTGAGTAAGCTTTATATGTAGTACATTCTGTGGATGATAGGCTACTACTTTAGCCAGTTTTGTGACTCTTGAACTTGAGTCAACAAATGTACTTAAAGGGGCATTAGGTAAGATTAGATAAAGAGCTGAACAGTTCTCACATAATAGTTTAAAAAAAGGTAATGAAAACAGAATATGCTTAAATTTTAGTCAAATTGCTTCACCCTGAACCGAGATATTAGCAATTCAATTTTAGGCTAGCCTCGATCGTCATTACTACTGTTTTTTGCGATATTAAACAGTCTCAATTATCCAGTTTTACATTAAATCATCCATCACAAAACATATTCAAATCCACTAAATATCACAGACTAACGATGGCATCGAGAGATGATTATGGCCTTGATTACTTGATAAGTTAATGTCTAATTAATAATTTAGATAACATTTAAGGCCTAAAAAATGTCCATTTTAAGCTTAGGCCTCCCCTTCATCTCTTCTTAGTGGAAAGAGAGAAATGGGGTTTAACATCCACTTGTCACAAACTAGGTCATTTTGGGACTGACATGTTGCAATTATATTTCAATAATTCACTTATGCGAAAGGGCCTTTAGGATAACATTCATTACCACAGTGTACAGTCAGCAGGGTTTTTCTTTGGCAAAATCAGTCAATTTTGGGAAGTATTTTAAGTAAAGTAAGATTTTCAGGCAATACTAAAATTGAGCAACCCCCCCCCCCCCCCCAATCAGTAAGCTTACATTCTGTATGTATATAAAGTTACAATATTATGTTTCAGTATTGTAAGTTTGAAGAGCATAGCTTTTATTTAAACAATGTTGACTTCAAATAATGTAGTGGAAGCATTACCGTATGAGTAAGCTTATATCTTTAAAAACAAGTTCATTTAAAGTAGTACTTATTCTTCTATTGAATAAAGCTTAATACCCTTCTTAAGATTAAATTGAATTGTATATTTTACAGGTGAGAGTTCTGTATGTTCGTAATTTAATGTTAGATACATCAGAAGAAACTGTGAAAGAGATGTTTGAACGAGCATCGGGTACACCAAATTCTATTGAAAGAGTGAAGAAAATCAAGGATTATTGTTTCATCCATTTTAAGAACCGGGAAAGTGCAGCAGAGGCAATGTCAAATCTAAATGGTAATAAATTATAAAGCTTAAAACATAAATTTGATGATCTTCGATTTCAGTGCACATGGTCATTTCAGCTATTTAGTTTAACTAACACCACATTACCAGTATCTTATGTTGCTACATGTACATAAGTGGAAATCAGGAAATATTCAAAGGCAGATTGAAAATGCAACTACATGTATGTAGTTACAGGTCTAGCCAATCTAATTAAAATTTGATTACAATTATGTTTCGTTTATACGCCCACATTTTCATGTGGACGTATATTGTCGTTGCCCCTGTCCGTCCGTCCACAATTGTTTGTGAAAACTCTACAGGTCACAATTTTTTTCCGACTTCAATGAAACTTGAAATATAGGTTTATCACCCTAAGATCTCGGTTCCTTTCGATATTGGCATGTATCGGACTGTAACTTCATGGATTATGGCCCCTGATTGTACGAAAAATCACGTTTTTAGCTTATGAACACTGTAGAGGTCACAATTTTTATCCGATTTGGTTTAAACTTGAAATGTATGGTTATAACCCACAGATCTCGTATGGACAAAATGTACGCCCCTCGTATGCAAATAGTTTAAACATCTGGTAAATCAAGGTTGTGGAGCCTCTTAGAGGTCACAATTTTGATCCGATTTTGATGAAAGTTGAAATACATGTTTATAACCCAAAGATCTAGGTTCCTTTCAATATTCGCGTGTATCGGATTGTATATTCCTGAATTATGGCCCTTGAATGTACAAAAAATCGCATTATTAGCTTGTAGTACCTCTAGAGATAACTACTATTATTCGATTTATAAAAACGTTGGAATATATCACCGTTCCACCGTAACTTCCTGGATTATGGCTCCTGATTGTTCGAAAAATCGCATTTTTTTAGCATGCCTATTCTCTAGAGGTCACAATTTTTTTTCTGATTTTAAAAACCGTTTGAATATATCACCATTCCACCATAATAAAGGTTGAATTCGAATTTCGTGAAAATCAAAATGAAACTGCCGGACAAAATGGCCGCAAATAGTTGATAACAATTAACATACACCCTGCATTGTTTTTTCAGGTACTTCTGTCGAAGGTTCTTATGTTGAAGTTGTTTGGGCTAAACCACCAGATAAAAGTGATCCACGTAGATTAATGAAAGGTGTTTACCAACAAGTAAGCTTTTAGAATCAAGAAAAGAGAAAATCTTTCATATTTCAAAGTTAGGGCCTTAATATTGCAATTGTCTGGAGAAGTACAGCTGCCAAATAATAGAAACTTCAATTACAGTGTATGAACTAAATCACCATTGGTAATACTGATCTTGGATAGATCGTGTTGACCATTCTAAGATTAAATGGATTTTTATACACCCACATTGATATGTGATCGTATATTGTTGTCGCACGCGTCCGTCCGTCCATCAGACGGTCGGTCGGTCCGGTGTCCACAAGCTCTATAGGCTAAAGTTAATATTCAATTGACTTTAAATGTATACACAGTGTTTAAGGTCATGAGTGGAAGAATCCTATTGATTTTCAGCGATTTCCGATAATTACTGCCAGAGTTATGGCCCTTGATCACTTTGAAAAATCTTGTGGACGCTCTAGAGGCTAAAATTAATATCCGATTGACTTTAAATTGATACACAGTGTCTAAGTTCATGAGACGAAGAAGCCTATTGATCTTCAGCGATTTCCGATAATTACTGCCAGAGTTATGGCCCTTGATCACTTTGAAAAATCCTGTGGACGCTCTAGAGGCTAAAGTTAATATCCGATTGACTTTAAATTGATACACAGTGTTTAAGGTCATGAGACGAAGAATCCTATTGATTTTTGAGCGATTTCCGATAATTTTTGCCAAAGTTATGGCCCTTGATCACTTTGAAAAATCTTGTGGACGCTCTAGAGGCTAAAGTTAATATCCGATTGACTTTAAATTTATACACAGTGTTTAAGGTCATGAGACGAAGAAGACTATTGGTTTTTAGTTATTTCCGATAATTACTGCCAGAGTTATGGCCCTTGATCACTTTGAAAATCTTGTGGACGCTCTAGAGGCTAAAGTTAATATCCAATTGACTTTAAGTGATACACAGAGTTTAAGGTATTGATTTTCAATGAATCTTTATGACTTGAAAAGCTAAATCCATGATGTTGAAAGTTTCATATACTAAACTTTATAAAAACCAAACAAATTCTAATGGTTTTCTGATAATTACTTGTTGACTTATTACTCATAGTCATAATCAGATTTTAATGTATTATAAATTTTTCATTACCGAAAAAAGTAAAAATATGCAACAACTCTTGTTGACTGCCCGGACGATATAGCTGCTGTGGGCGTATGTTTCGTTGCCTGACAACCTATCTTTATAACTGACAGAATACAGACTGTCCAAATAAGCAATATAAATTAGAGGAATAAACATAAGGATCTGTATTTGGTTTGCTGAAATACCGCATGCGTGAAGCAGTAGTCAGGCTAATTGCTAACTGTTGTACATAAATAAGTTATAAGCTTACTTTCATTTACAATGTATGTTGAAAAATATTCTCATATTCTTAATTGCTGACTTTGGTGTAAATTCCTTATCTTATTCATTACATATTTACATATATATTATTTATTTAATAGGAAGATGAACAAGATATACAGAATTTGCTCTCTAATATTTCTTTATCATCAGAAGTACATCATTTTTCTATTTAATTTATTTTTATTAACTTGAAATGTGGCATACAAAAATGTGTGTTGGAATGTGCATCTGTCTTGTTCCATAAATTTATATCTTTATTGAGAACAATGTAGAAACTATAATCATCAAATCTTTTTAAATTTTAAAAAGGCATTCAGCCTGGTAAAATGAATATGCCAATTCATTTAAGCAAATTTCTGACAATAACATTCAGAGTTGTGCATCTTTATTAGCAATCGAGATTTAGGTGCTCATCCATTTATTTTCAACAATGTAAATAAATTATTGCACCAGTGATGGGATTTCAAAAGTTTTCTTGTCGGACATTTTACCGAAAATAAAGGGGCATAATTCTTATCGTTATTTAAGCAGACGGATTCATACCACAATTAAATATCACGTGTCAACAAAATATTCAAATCCCGTACGTAATAAAAATAGGCGAACCTCGCTATTTTTCATATTTAATTCCCGTACGGCATTCAAATTTATGACAGTAACAATCCTACAAAATAACTCATTTTTGTAATATACACATCCTGTACGTAATAAAAATAGGTGAACCTCGCTATTTTTCATATTTAATTCCCGTACGGCATTCAAATTTATGACAGTAACAATCCTACAAAATAACTAATTTTGGTAATACATTGAATGAAAGTTTACCGATCCTGCTTCAGCATCAAATTCACAATAGTAGCCCTAATATTCCTGCAAAATTACGTGTCTTTTGTTTATACGGCAGTAAATGAATGCATAACTTCCTGAATAAGAATCGTTTTTATACACCCACATTTTCATGTGGACATACACAATTTGTTTGTGGACACTCTACAGGTCACAATTCTTATCCGATTTTGACGAAACTTGAAATATAGGTTTATCTCCAAAAGATCTCGGCTGCTTTTGATATTGGCATGTATCGGAACGAAACTTCATGGATTATGGCCCCTGTTTGTACGAAAAATCACATTTTTAGCTTGTGGACCCTATAGAGGTGGCAATTTTTATCCAATTTTGTTGAAACTTGTAATGTAAGTTTATAATCCATACTCAAATAGAGTAAAAATATGGAATATCAAGGTTGTGGATCCTATAGCGGTCACAATTTTTATCCGATTTTGTTGAAACTTGAAATGTAAGTTTATAATCCAAAGATCTCGATTCCTTTTGATATTCGTGCATATTGGACTGTAACTTCCTGAATTATGGCCCCGGATTGTACGAAAAATCCCGTTTTTAGCTTGTGGACCCTATAGAAGTCATAATTTTTATCCGATTTAAAAAAAATGTATTATTTTATCACCGTTACACCCTAAGGACGGCTGAGTTCGAATTTCGTGAAAATCGACCCAAAACTGACAGACAAAATGGCCGCCCTTCGTTCTCAAATAGCGTACAAATATGGTATATCAAGGTTGTGGACCCTATAGAGGTCACAATTTTAATCCGATTTTGTTGAAACTTGAAATGTAAGTTTATAACACAAAGATCTCGGTTCCTTTCGATATTTGCGCATATCGAATTGTAATTTCCAGAATTATGGCCCTTGATTGTAGAAAAAATCGCGTTTTTAGCTTGTGGACCCTATAGAGGTCTTAATTTTTATCCGATTTAAAAAAACGTTTTAGTGTATCACCGTTGCACCCTAAGGACGGCTGAGTTCGTATTTTGTGGACCCTATAGAGGTCTTAATTTTTATCCGATTTAAAAAAACGTTTTAGTGTATCACCGTTGCACCCTAAGGACGGCTGAGTTCGTATTTTGTGAAAATCGACCCAAAACTGACAGGCAAAATGGCTGCCCCTCGTTCTCAAATGGCGTAAAAATATGGTATATCAAGGTTGTGGACCCTATAGAGGTCACAATTTTTATTTGATTTTGTTGAAACTTGAAATAATAGTTTATAAGCCAAAGATCTTGGTTCCTTTCGATATTTGTGCATATCAAATTGTAATTTCCTGAATTATGGCTCTTGATTGTAGGAAAAATCACTTTCTATTTAGCTTGTTCTCTATCCATCTCTTGAAAATGTGGGCGTATCCTGCCTGGAAGCCGCTGGTCTTCTTTATAAAATGTCAACAAAATATTCAAATCAGTGCGTAATAAAAATAGGAACACGTCGCTATTTTTCATATTTAGTTCCTGTGTGGTATTCAAATTTATGCCAGTAATATTCCTATAAAATTATGTGTTTTCGTAATATATGTACGATAGAATGAAAGATTGCCGATCCATACCTACTTGTAAAAAGGCATAGCTTCTTTCAGCGTATGGCGTACGTGACTCATAGCATATAGCTTCATCGTAAACACTGCCTTGTAAGCGATTTTCGTTCGGCAATCGGGATCGCGGAAAAGTGTCACTGTTGATGAGAAATTCATTATGGAATCTTAAAAGACGTAAAAGATATCGCAGACAAAATGACTGTCCATTGAGTTGGGGTGCTATATACTCTTACGATATGTGACATCTAAGACTAGTTTATACATGCTGTCCGACAAGTCAATGTAGAAACCACAAGGTAAACACGTAGATTAAAATTATAATCATTCTTATTGGATTGACTTCTGTTTTAAAAAAGATTGATGAATTGTCCGATAAAAGATTAAGTCAGTCAATCATGGCAGATTAAGCAGTTAATCAAGGTAGGTGTATAGACGGTATAACACGATAAATACGATGATCTTTTAATTACCTAATCAATTCAGCCTATTATGAACGATAATCTGGTAGGTGTATAGACGGTATAACACGATAAATAGTTGATTGCTTAAATACCTAATCAATCCAGCCGATAATTAATGATAATCGGGTTGAGTGGTAATTATACACTCAGTACACTATATTATTTTTGGAATTTTGAATATTATTCACCATATCTTGATGTCCGATTGGGCATATTCCAGGTCGGACATTTTTGGGCGTTCGGAAAATAGCGTCGGACCTGTCCGGAATATACAGGCGAAATCCCATCACTGTATTGTACCTACATGTATTTTACAAAAATTATGTCCACAAAGTAGATTGTGGCAAACTTAGATTACAGATTCAGCGACAAATCTGCTTAATGGCGTATGTTTTGTTATTTGGCAACCTATGTTTTTTTACTAAAATTAATAACAAATTACATTTATTCACAACTAGCAAGAACATATTTTGATGGAATATATAGCATGCTCTTCTGTTATTTTGAGGGCATTTCTGTATTTACATGGTAGCTCTAAGCTACTAGGACACATGATTAATCCTCATTTACTGAGTATTGTTTTTACGTGGATGGATTGGACAGTGATTTCTTTAATGATTAGAGAGCGAGATAGAAATGGTGTTTAACGTCCACTCGACACAATTAGGTCATTTCGGGACTAACATGGTTCAATTTTATTTCAATAATTCGCTTGCGCGTAGGGGTCTTAAGCAGTGGGAGGAAACTGGAGGACCCAGAGAAAACTCACGAGGTTGAACAAGTGACCCAACTCCTCGTCATATACAACTGGGGAATTGAAACCACGCCAGTTGACTCAATGACATACCTTATTATACATCGCGCACAGGCCATCCGACCCCATTTTATGATTAGAATAAGTGTAGATAATATGAAATTGTATGAATGCCATAGGTACAAACTATCATCAGGTGTTCTAGGGCCATGCTGCATGCACCTCGAGGACATTTATCATTTTGACACTCAATTTGGCACAGTCTGGTTGATTTTTAGATCACTTTCAACAGCCTACACCAGAAGGTCAATAAGGTCAATTTTGTGGGATAAATATTTCATGCAAAAGTAAAGATCTACATACCTAAGGAATAAAGGTAATTAGCTATTGAAAAGATTTGAAACCTCGGGATGTGGTGTGTAAATATTTTAGACCACTTCTATAGTTCCAATTGACTAGTCAAGCCAAAATCGTGTTGCTCTTGGGTGGGGGTAAAATAGGTACAATCACATATTTATTGATGAATTCTTCACAAACGTTTCCCAAGTATTATTTGGTAGGAGCTTTTGATAGAATAGATAAGGTTATTTATTTTTGTCTTTTATGATACTGTTCATACATTAGCCATCTATTTACATAGCAATGTGGTACATGTACTTGCAGCAGTCAGTAAGGCAATGATTTTGTCTTTGTATTCTCGTAGGGAGGGCAAGAAATAAAACAATGGACATATAATCAAAATATTTAAATCCAAAAACTCAGAGTTACGTACATAGTTCAAGAAAACGGTTGAGGTGATCGACTACAATTTATCCAAGAGCTGTAATTTATAGTCAGTAACTAAACCAAAATGTTTAAAGTTATTCACTTACTAGCGTAGAATATTCAACCCCTTGTCCGACGCCCGCCCGTGAACCAATGAATTAGAAAAATATTGGCCTGTGGCATAACAAAATCATCATCTTGACATGGTGAGGATGAGAAAAGTAATTCAAGTAACTGTTGTGGTTTCGAGTATAGTGGATAAAAAAGGGGTAGGCACGATATTCAGCTATGTCAACACTAACTCTATTTGAAAGGAAATGGAATAAGCGTCTGTGACTTGAATGCCACAATGTACATGTACAGTTTAACTTGACAAGTGTTGAAGACTTGATAACCCGTTGCAACTGTATTTATGGATGAATGGGTTCAGATTTTACTGCACATCTCTGTTTTCTATTTCGCAGCTATGTACTGTACTACTTACGTACTAACAACGTATTAAAAATGGTTATAAAATAGACCTGTACCCAGCTTCTAAAGAAACCCTTGAAATAATGTCCCATCTTATTATATTTTTTATCATCATTAGTTGATAAAAACTAGAGAAACCTAGTTGAAACCTAGCTCAGTAATAAGCAGTAATTGTATTCCAATGAATTGTTTACTTACTAGTATCTTGTGGTGCCATTTTCTACCAATCAATAATGGAATTATTAACCACCTTTTTGTAAAAATAATTTTGGAAAGCATTTAAGATGCATTTGTCTTTCAATGAAGAAATTGTTCCAAATGTCAAATACTATGTCCATTATCTTTTTATACGCCCACATTTTCATGTGGACGTATATTGTCGTCGCCCCTGTCCGTCCGTCCACAGTTTGTTTGTGGACACTCTACAAGTCACAATTCTTATCCGATTTTGACGAAACTTGAAATATAGGTTTTTCTCCAAAAGACCTTGGTTGCTTTCGATATTGGCATGTATTGAATCGAAATATCATGGATTATGACCACTGTTTGTCCGAAAAATCCATTTTTAGCTTGTGGACCCTAAAGAGGGCACAATTTTAATCCAATTTTGATGAAACTTGAAATGTAAGTTTATAACCCAAAGATCTCGTTTCCTTTCGATATTCGCGCATATCGGAACGTAACTTTCTGAATGATGGCCCCTGATTGTACGAAAAATCACGTTTTTAGCTTGTGGACCCTATAGAGGTCATAATTTTTATCCGATTTAAAAAAAATGTATTATTATATCACAGTTACACCCTAAGGACGGCTGAGTTCGAATATCATGAAAATCGGGCCAAAACTGACAGACAAAATGACCGCCCTTTGGTCTCAAATGGCGTAAAAATATGGTATATCAAGGTTGTGGATCCTATAGCGGTCACAATTTTTATCCGATTTTGTTGAAACTTGAAATGTAAGTTTATAACCCAAAGAACTCGTTTCATTTCGATATTCGCCCTATAGAGGTCATAATTTTTATCCGATTTAAAAAAACGTATTATTATATCACCGTTACACCCTAAGGACGGCTGAGTTCGAATATCGTGAAAATTGGCCCAAAACTGACAGACAAAATGGAACGCCCTTCCTACTCAAATAGCGTAAAAATATGGTATATCAAGGTTGTGGATCCTATAGCGGTCACAATTTTTATCCGATTTTGTTGAAACTTGAAATGTAAGTTTATAACCCACAGAACTCGGTTCCTTTTGATATTCGCGCATATCGGACCGTAACTTCCTGAATTATGGCCCCTGATTGTATGAAAAATCGTGTTTTTAGCTTGCGGACCCTATAGAGGTCATAATTTTTATCCGATTTAAAAATTTGTGTGAATATATATCAGCGTTAAGCCCTAAGGATGGTTGAGCTTGAATTTCATAAAAATTGGACCGAAACTGACGGACAAAATGGCCGCCCCTCATACGCAAATAGTGTCAAAATATTGCGTATTTCTGGATGTCACAATTTTCATCTGATTTTGATGAAACTTGAAATGCATGTTTATAACCCACAGAACTCGGTTCCTTTCGATATTCGCACATATTGGACCGTAACTGACTGAATTATGGCCCCTGATTGTACGAAAAATCGCGTTTTTAGCTTGTGGACCCTATAGAGGTCATATTTTTTATCCGATTTCAAAAAATGTTTGAATATATCACAGTTACACCCTAAGGATGGTTGAGTTTGAATTTCGTAAAAATCGGACCGAAACTGACGGACAAAGTGGCCGCCCCTCGTTCGCAAATAATGTCAAAATATTGTGTATCAGGGTTGTGGACCCTTTGGAGGTCACAATTGTCATCTGATTTTGATGAAATTTGAAATGCATATATAACCCAAATATCTTGGTTCCTTTCTATTTTAGTGCATATCGAATTATGGCCCCTGATTTTACGAAAAATCACGTTTTTAGCTTGTGGTCCCTCTAGAGATCACAATTATTATCCGATTTAAAAAAAAACGTTTGAATATATCACCGTTACACCATAATTTTGTCTGAGGTTGAGTTTCATGAAAATCGGAACAAAATTGCAAGACAAAATGGCCGCCCCTCGTACGCAAATAGTATAAACATCTTGTAAATCAAAGTTGTGGACCCTCTAGAGGTCACAATTTTGATCTGTTTCGATGAAACTTGAAATACATGTTTATAATCCAAAGATATTGGTTCCTGTCGATATTCGCACATATCGGATTGTAACTTCCTGAATTATGGCCCTTGATTGAACAAAAAATCATGATTTTAGCTTGTGGTCCCTATAGAGGTCACAATTTTATGCGATTTAAAAAAAGTGTGTGAATATATCACCATTACACACTAAGATCTTGGTTCCTTTTGATAATCGTGGATACCCGAACTTAACTGCCTGTTTGATATTTGCACATTCCAGACCATAACTTACTGGATTTTTGCCCCTGATTGTACAAAAAATCCCGTTTATTTTGAGCTTGTTCTCTATCCATCTGTTGCAAAATGTGGGCGTATCCTGCCTGACAGCCGCTGGTTTTATGCATTAATTTAAAGCATGACTTCAATTATTATTATTTCATTTATCTAGAGTGGGATATTTTAGAATTGAACTGATTGTTACTGTTATGCTAATATTTGCTAATTATTAACTTTCTTTCAATTTTAACTAACATTTTGTTTTTATACGCCCACTTTTTCATTTGGAGGTATGATGTCGCGATCCTTGTCTGTCCATCCATCCACAATTTGTGTTCATTCTACAGGTCACAATTCTTATTTGATTTTGACGAAACTCGAAATATAGGTTTATCTCCAAAAGATCTCCTCTATTCCTTTCGATATTGGCATTTTTCGGACCGAAACTTCATGGATATGGCCCCTGATTGTACGAAAAATCATGTTTTTAGCTTGTGGACACTCTAGAGGTCACAATTTTTATCCGATTTAGAAGAAACTTGAAAAGTATGTTTATAACCCAAAGATCTCAGTTCCTTTCAATATTCCCGTATATCGGACCGCAACTTCCTGGATTATCGCCCCAGATTGGACGAAAAATCATATTATTATTTTAGCTTGTTCTCTGTCCATCTCTTGCAAAATGTGGACGTATCTTGCATGGCAACCACTTGATGGATAGATTTTGTGCATGTTTTTATTTTATGTGGGCTGTAAATATTTGATTGATACATTTTAAATATTATGATGGATTCTTTGTGTTATTACAAAAAATACAACATTAAATAAAATCAAATATGCAGAGAGTTTACATGTAATTAAAACTCAGCAACCTGACATTTTAGGCTGAGGGTAATTGTTGTTATCATTTTGTTATCATTCAATAAATTTGTATTTGAAACTCTGAATTCTAGGTTTTTACAGTAAATTATGGTCTGTAATTACAGGTAGGCTATGGTTACAGTGCATATGAGACACCATTTGTACCACCGTTCATATATGGTCAGGTTGCACCAGGAAGGTAGTATTTTTTCCATCTTATTATTTTCAGGCCTGGAAATAATTATTTAGTGTGTCTGACAAAATGTCAGGCTATGTTTTGATAACAACAGAGATCTTTTCACTTTGTGCTGGACATTAATTATAAATAGACCATAAAAAAAGGCTACCAGTAGTCTGTGTGGAATAAATTGAAAGGTGCAAGAAGAATCATGCTTGACAAAACCTGAATTTTTGTCTGGCATTGCTTATTACCAGACTTAAAAAAGATTTCAGCTGAAAATGAGTACCAGTACAATTAAAGCTTAGACTTCACAGGAGAAGCAGTGGGGGATGAATTATAATGACAATTATTCTTGCTTTGTTCTGGTTAGCCACATGATAATGAAGATATGTCATTGGATTCTTCTTTAAATTTCCAAAAAAGAAATTATTTTCGTGTTGCTGGCTAACACAACATATCCTTTATAATTAGATGCATAAAGTCAGATATTTAAACTATTTTTTAGGGGTTACGATAGAGGTCCTTTAGTAGCAAACCCAGCAATCCGAGGACGTGGTAGAGGTGCTGCTGGGTCAAGGGGAGCTGGGGGAACAAGAGGATATATGCCTTCAAATGTCCGTGCTGGCTACAGACGATACCCTGTTGAAGTAAGTTGTATTTCACAATAAAACAACAATCAGTTGAAAATTGTTAATCATAATTTTTTCTAGGTACAATTACTAGTAATACAGATATGCAAACTGACACACAAACACATATCAAATCATAATCAAATTTAATACATGCTGGGAATAACCGATATTGACATTGTGATTATTGTTTACTACACTTACATTCTATTCAGTGTCGTCACTCTCTGTCCATGAATAGTGCTTGTGAATAATCGGCGGGTACAGGAGATAGTTGTTGGAAATTTTTCATAACTTAGTACTATTTGTATTAATGAAAATTAAAATAATTTGATTTCAGAAGACCACTATAGGAATTTTTGGAAAAAAAAAATTTCACAGAATTTTCATTGAAGAAATTCAGATTTTCCCTACCTTTCAATTTTTGACTTAGAAAGTTTGTGAATGTGTTACAGAGCAGAATTTTTTGTCCCCCGCCTTTCGAAGAAAGCAGGGGACTATTAAAATGGGTTCGTCCGTCTGTCTGTCCGTCCGTCTGTCTGTCCGTCACACTTTTTGGGACACAATAACTCTCTTCCTAATTGAGCTAGAATGTTCAAACTTGGTGTATGTGTTTATTAGGTCAATGCCTTGATGGAGTTCGAAGATGAGCATTTTCCGCTTAGGGTAAGCAGAGATAAGCAATTTGATTGGTTGATGCTTTGGGACACGATAACTCTCTTCCTAATTGGGCTAGAATGTTCAAACTTGGTGTATGTGTTGATTAGGTCAATGCCTTGATGGAGTTCGAAGATGAGCATTTTCCGCTTAGGGTAAGCAGAGATAAGCAATTTGATTGGTTGATGCTTTGGGACACGATAACTTTTAATTGAGCTAGAATGTTCAAACTTGGTGTATGTGTTTATTAGGTCAATGCCTTGATGGAGTTCGAAGATGAGCATTTTCCGCTTAGGGTAAGCAGAGATAAGCAATTTGATTGGTTGATACTTTGGGGCACGATAACTCTCTTCCTAATTGAGCTAGAATGTTCAAACTTGGTGTATGTGTTGATTAGGTCAATGCCTTGATGGAGTTCGAAGATAAGCATTTTCCGCTTAGGGTAAGCAGAGATAAGCAGTTTGATTGGTTGATGCTTTGGGACACGATAACTTTAGTTCTAATTAAGTGAGATTGATGAAACTTGGTGTATAGATTTATTATATGAATACCTTAACTAAGTTCGATAATGAACATTTTTTGCTGAGGGTAAGCAGAGTGATAAGCAATTTGATTGGTAGAAACTTTGGAACACAATAACTCTCCTTCTAATTGAGGTAGAATGTTCAAACTTGGCATAGGTGTCTATTAGGTGAATGTTTAAACTTGATGTATATGTAGATGTTCATTAGGTGAATGTCTTGACTGAGTTCAATAATTAACATTTCGAGCTGAAGCTAAGCAGAGCTAATCGATTTCATTTGTCGATGGTTTGGGACAAGATAATCTTGATTCTATCTGATAGAGAGTGATGAAACTTAGTGAAAAAAATAAATGTGCGATTAATTAATATGTGTCATCTATTTATTTTGCAATTTCGGCGGGGGACATCAGCCTCACTGTTGGCTTGTTAAACTTTTATTTTATAAGAATTGAGAATTTTTATGAATTAATTATATTAATCATTAATTATGGGTGAGGCTGACATTGCTGGTGGTCGTGTAATTGGGTTGCCCAATGAAACTTCAATTGCATGCATTGTTATTATATTGATACACATGTAAGCTTTTTACGTATTGATTTGGAGGACTATTAATATTATCCAGAACTCTAATCCAAGTTCATAATTAACATAATAATGGCTTTTAATTATTTAATATTGCATGAATTGTGACAACTACAATGTTTAATAATGTATATAACAAATTTTCATTTTGTCGAAAATTGATTGTTCAAGCTAACCTCATTTTTGTGTTAGGGTCGGCTGATTGATATTTTACCTGGGATGGAATTGACCCCAACTAACCCTGTCACATTAAAACCACAGTCTGTTAAATCTCCAGTACAGGTATTAGCAAACGGAACATAATCAATCTAGTATCCATTCAATCAATCTAATCTTATAAAGGCTTAGCTATATTCAACACTTTTGTTTAATGATACACAGTTGTAGTTTGATAAAAACAAAAACTTTGGGCTTTTATCATTTGTTAGACATTTTTATACGCCCCACATTGAAATGTGGTCGTATATTGTCGTCCCACAAGTCCATTGCTTGTGGACGCTCTGGCGGTTAAAGTTAATATCCAGCTGACTTTAGATTTATGCAGTTTTTACGGTCATGAGACGAAGAAACCTATTGATTTTCAACGATTCCGATAATTACTAACAAAGTTATGTCCCTTGACCTCTTTGAAAAATCTTGTGGACACTCTAGAGGCTGAAGTTAATATTCAATTGACTTTAAATTTATACACAGTGTTTACGGCCATGAGATGAAGAAGCCTTTTGATTTTCAACAATTTCCAATAATTACTGCCAAAGTTATGACCCTTGATCACTTTGAAAAATCTTGTGGACGCTCTAGAGGCTAAAGTTAATATATATTTATACACAGTGTTTAAGGTCATGAGACAGACATTCAATCAAATTCTAATGATTTCTGATAATTACTTAATGGGTTGTTACGTGTAATCAGATTTTAGTGTGTTGTAAATGTTTTCATTACTAACAAAAGAAAACATATGTGACGACCCTTGTTGACTGCCCAGACGACATAACTGCAGTGGGTGTATGTTTTGTTGCCTGGCCTGGCAACCAATCTTTCTTTTACTAGTAGTAGGCGATTATTTGAGTTTCATTAACTCCTATATGATTCACTAAAATTCTTATCATTATAGTCAAAAACATGAAATTAAAATTAATATTGAAAACTTTTTAAAATATTAATTTTGTTAGTTACATTTATAATTTTAAGTGTAAAATGGTAGATTTACTTACTGACAGATTGATATAGCTTGAGCCTTTACTTAAAGCTTTTCTTTTGGCTTCCTCATGCTTTTACTGTTTATGAGATAGATACATGTAATATTCTGTTATTACAAGTGTAGTTGCAAATTTAGATAAAAAACTTTTTTGATTTAGCTGAATATAAAGCAGATCAATTTCAAATGGGGAAAGTGTTGGCATTGAAACTTTAAATAGATCAAATCAAAATGCATCCATCTCAGAAGAATAAAATCTGTTGCTATATCTACTTAATTATTCTTGTCAAAATAATTATCTTTGATAGTAGATACTGTATCTGTGATTTTAATGGGATATATTATGTGTCATTCTTTCATTTATTAAATTTTGTTAAAAACTGTTGTCTTGTAAAATCACTTGCCAGGTAATATTCCTTATTTCCTACACTAGCATGCTATTGAAACCTATTTATTCCCATTATATACCTCCCCCCCCACCCCACCCAGCCCAAATAAACTTGCTTGTATGCTTTCATCCTAATATACTGTAAAACAAGAAATAATCAAGAGTAATTTTTCAAATGTTCACTAGGTGATACATTGTATTTAATTTAGGCTCATTAATTTCATTGGGTAAAAATTTGTTGTTTTACAGTACCGGTACAAGATTCAATCAGAATTTTGGTTTGATCGGATCACCCTAGTTTGCTTTAGTTGAATTTATATTTTAATATCAGGTGGAAAAAGTAATGTGTGATAAATTTCTTAGTAATTTTAAGCCTTAGAAGCTTTTTATATGAAAACTTATGTGGGTAATCATTAACAATAATTTTGAATTCTTATTTATGCATCTTCATTCGCAACTCTTTACTCCTGCTATTGACTGAAAATTTATAGAGCTTGTAAATTATAGAACTTGGTTTGTGGTTGTAAAATAAAACTATGATTTCTTTTAATATAGAGACCCCAACAGATTCTAACAGTATTTGGAATTCAATTCAATCTACCGTACATGTAATTGCCTCACAGATAAGATAAAGAGTGTTCGAGCTGCCAAGTGGGATGATGACTTTGTCGAGAAAAATAATTATATCATTATGTTTACTAACTAAGGCTATGATTTAATTAAACATTACAGATATTAGAAGATTTATGTGGTAAAAATGGTTGGGGTAGTCCTATATACCAATTACATTCTGCTGTTCAACGAGATTCACAGTTCTTCTTGTACAAGGTATAGTTTCATCATAATGTTTGATGTTATTCAGGCCATTAATAAATAATGGTAGGCTTAAGAATCTGTCCTTACTCAGATTAGGTGTATTGGACATCCAGTGTACATCCAGGTTACATTGGGTTAGGTATAGTGTTGAAATATATTCTGTTGTCACTCATGATTGTGGTAACAAATCATGTTCTGCAATTTGTTACAAATCAAAAATTTGTGCCAGAAATTCATACACATTTAGGTAAATGTAAGACAATTCTCAATATTGATTAAACCATGCGAGGAGAGTTTACTATTGCTCTGGGGTTGTTTATTTTTTTGTCCTGGCCATATCTCCCATTGCTGCATCGATCTTGACAAAATTTGCCCAAGTTGTGCTCATTGTGTTTAGTTGCTATTCTATGATTACCCATAAACGTACCTTTTATACACCCACATTGAAATATGGTCATACATATTAGTCATATTGTTGTCGCTGTTGCTCTAGAGGCTAAAGTTAATATCGGATTGACTTTAAATTTAAATTCAGTGTTTAAGGTCATGAGATGAAGAAGCCTATTGATTTTCAATGATTTCCGATAGTTTTGGCCCTTGATCACTTTGAAAAATCTTGTGGACGCTCTAGAGGCTAAAGTTAATATCCGATTGACTTTGAATTTATACACATTGCGTAAGGTCATGAGACGAAGAAGCCTATTGATTTTCAGCAATTTCCGATAATTACTGCCAGAGTTATGGCCCTTGATCACTTCAAAAAATCTTGTGGACGCTCTAGAGGTCAAAGTTAATATCTGATTGACTTTAAATTTATACACAGTGTTTAAGGTCATGAAACGAGGAAGCCTATTGATTTTTAGCAATTTCCGATAATTACTGCCATAGTTAGGGCCCTTGATCACTTTGAAAAATCTTGTGTCGCTCTAGAGGCTAAAGTTATCATCCGATTGACTTCAGATTGATGCATAGAGTTTAAGGTCTTGATAAGTATATTGATTTTCAATGAATTTTTATGATGTTAAGTTTTGTATACTAAACGTTAGCATGGGGCTGAACTTTATAGAAACCAAACAAATTCTAATGGTTTTCTGATAATTACTTAATGAGTTGTTACTCTTTAAAATCAGATTTTAATGTATTATAAATGTTTCATTACCAAAAAAAGTAAAAATATGCGAAAATTCTTGTTGACTGCCCGGATGATATAGCTGCTGTGGGCGTATGTTTTGTTGCCTGGCAACCTATCTTTGACTTCTGTGGCAACCTTTCCATCTTTAACTATGACATCATTTATCTATATTTAGCTTATTCTTTATATGTCATCAAAGTTATGACGTGATATTAACAATATGACATCACAGGTTACTATGACTTCCCTTGTGCTTCAAATATCATTTGTGTACTTTGTGTTCTCTGAGGAAGTCAGTTTTTACACTATATAAAAGATGGGTTTATGATGCCCATGACTTTGTTTTTAGCCACTCCTACTACTGGTGTCACCGCATCAAGTTTATTATGACTTGGATGACTTGGATCCCATCAAAGTTTATGTTATTCAAATGGTTTTGGATTCACATTTTCATGTGGACGAATATTGTCATCAACCCTGTCAAGAGGTCACAATTTTTATCCAATTTAAAAAACTGTTTTTAAAAATACATCACTGTTACATAGTAAATATGGTTGAGTTTTAATTTCATGAAAATTGGACCAAACTGCTCGACAAAATGGTCGCTCCAGATAATCAAAAAGTGTGAAAGTATGTAATACCAAGGTTGTGGACTCTCTAGAGGTCACAATTTTTATACGCCCACATTTTCATTGATTTTCATTAGCTTTTTCTCTATCCATCTCTTGCAAAATGTGGGCGTGTCTTGCTTGGCAACCACTTCCTACAGTTTTGTTCCTAAGTCTAAGGATATCAAACTTTGACCTGATTTTCTACCAAAGGGGCTAAAGAACCTTTTGGTGAAAGGTCAAATGTTAGATTATAGTGAATTTCTTAAAAAAATTAAAAATTCTCTGTTACTGTAGTGTATTACGACGGACGATCATGTAGGGTTACAAACCTTTCCAGTCTGTGGGGTTGTCTTGTAAATTACAATTCAGTTGTTTGGTTATTTCAGGTTACCATTCCAGCATTAGCTAGTCAAAACCCAGCCCCATTTCAACCTAATAAACTTTGTCCAACTGTCGAGGAAGCCAAGATATTTGCAGCAGAATATGTATTGACACAGTTGGGAATTCCTTTTGAAAGTAAATATCTACTTTATTTCTATAACATTTTGGTACTTTTCATTTTGTCATGTGTAAAAAAAATATAATGTAAGCTAATTACACACCTCGGATAAGCTTAGATTTATAATTTGTAGTAATATTTTGCTAAACCTTATTGTTCATTTTAAGGGGAGGCACTACTCAACAATATGTATTTTAAAATAAGTGAGTTAAACAGAAAATTATTCTGTGCTGTAAAAAACTAGAATCTTTCTAATTCTATGTTTTTGATTTTTATCATATCAAAGTAGTTTGATGATATTTGAATGGTATGATTATATAGCATGGGTATAATAATTTATTATATTTGATTAAGCTTATTGTAATTAGAATAAGTTTGTAGAATTTAGTCAGCTTGTACATGTATATGTAGTAGATACCAGAGTTTGTGAAAATGTTTTGTTGTGACCCTGTCAGTCGGTCTGCATGTTTTTAACTTTGTATTTGACCTTACAACCACAAACTCGTGGATGAATTTATACAAAATTTGAGAATTATTTGCCAAGATACTGCCTATAAATAGAGTGAATGGATTGGCATTCATTTGTGTGATAATTATTTTGAATCATCGACTATACAGTTTATTGTCCGCACACAGAGGAGATAAATACTGGAAACTTAACTAGGCTCTATTCCACTTACCGGTACACATGTACATGTAGTAATTAAAAAAAACATTTTGAGGGTCCTACAGTTTTCACAAACTTTGTGAAATTATATGATGTCTGTCTATCCTTTCTATCTATATTATCTTGTCTAGGTGCTGATCTATCTCTGCCAAATGCTAGCCATTTCCAGCAAGGTCCGCTTGGACAAACTTTTCAAAACAGCCGTGAATTAACTTTTGCTCCACCACCCATTAGCAGTGCTTCTTATGTTGTTTCTTCTGGAAAAATTTTGCAAAGTAAGCAGAATAAATTGCTGATTCACATTAAACATAAAGATATTATTTCAAATGAATTAATTACACCACACATCAAATATTTAATTGTCTTAGTCTTTAATATTTTCTTAATTTTTTTATTTGAAAACTACATGTATTCTGCTCCTGCTATTTTCTCTAACCTTTATACCAATATTACTTATGGTTATATTTTTTTCGAATTATTTAGCTCATAGACAAAGTTATTGAAACAAAACTTGCCCAAAAATAATTATTTAATTTTTGGGACAAGTTATTGCCTTATTATTAATAATTTGCATTCAGTGATTCTGACTTAAATCTTGCTTAAAGTTTTTTCAAGTAATGCAGTTTCACAATTTCTGTTTTTCAGACGCTGGAGAGTTTAGTGGAGCCTACGAATTCCCCCCTGGATTTCCTGGACATGCTCCTACAACTGCCTCAGTGTATCATAACTATTAATTTGGCAACCTCGAGTTGTTCCCCAAACTGATTTCTCTTTCATCACAGACCAAGACCAGAGTAGCAGGGTTCTACTTGGATGAAGAAAACATATTTATTTAAGAATTATTAAAATCAGTATATTACCTGTACCTAAAACAATATCAATTTATTTTCAACCAATTTTCTCTTTAACTGTATGTATTGTACCTTTTACTTTTTTTCTGGCAACACAAATTAAAATGAAGTTCATTTTTGTCTTGATTTCTTTTAAAACTGAAATGAATTTTACTAAAGAAATTCATTTTGTAAAAGGTATTATTCCATAGGTGCCATATTACTTGATCATTTATGTTAAATCTGTATAACTATTGGAATTCTACCACTAATATAGATTTCAAAATTTGTTATCTTAAAGCACTTTAGCTCTTTTTATTTCAAAGATGTAGTCGGTCATATGTCATTATTGTATACCAAACAAACACAACTCAATATAATGTCAATACAAATTCCAACTAACTGATTTTTAGTCTTTCGTACATGTATAAATAATCTTTATTTGTTTTTCTGATTGGCTAAACTCTGTTCTTGTAGGTAAGTATTACCAAAGAAGATTGGGGTTTAACTGGTGTATAATACAACCAAATATAACCCATACTTATTCTGGATAACTCTGGCCAAACATTTTTGCAGGAACCTGTAGAGTGGAAATTTAATGTAGGTCAAGGTGTTTGTCATAGTTGTTACCAGCTGAGTTGAACTGAACTGTAAGGTCAACATTTGGCTACCTTGAAAGTTTTTCTTATATCCATACTGATAAAAGAATACATATCAAAGTCATCTATATTAAAGTTATTTTTTATTGTACATGTATTATAAAAAAATTTAGGGCTACCATTTATCTTTATGTGTAAATGTTACAGTATTTAGTTTGTAATGCAATTAAAGTACATCCTACTATGTTACATATGTGTTACAGATTGGGGGATGGATAATTAAAACAATTTTTATGTATTAAGCATTCCATTTATTCTTGAATATTTTTATTGCATGGATGTATCTTCAGTTGTGAAATATTTTATTCCAATATATTTTGGAAATATTTTCTATTTGGTTTGACTTTTAGTTTTATTTGAAACTATTTTATTTGTAAGGTATTAAAGATTTTTACCAAAACTTATGTTTAAACTAGGAATTCATAACAAAATAGTCAATGATTATTGATTCATAATTTATTTTGTTAGAATTCCATAAAAACAATTGTCTACCTTTTTTATTACTTTTTTTTATTTACTTAGTTTTTTTTACTATCGTGTTGTTTTCATTATTTTGTTTATATGATACCTTGTTTATATGTGTTGTTTGTAAAAGAAGTTTACAACTCAAACAACTAACCTAGCGTCTCGTTTACAAGTTTATACCCAGTAATTTATGAAGGAACAAGCTGTTTTAAATCGGACATCTGATTTTGTTGAACATATCCAGAATGAAAACCAATTTGGAGTTTGTTTTTTTTTTGTAAATTATTGTATTGTCTTTCTTTAAAAGTGCTATAAAATAGCTGTTATTTATTTATATTATATGTTGTCTTCCTTGGTGCCAAAAGACATGATATTTGTCAATGTTCAATTAAGGAAGGATCACAAATCAGTTTCTTTTAGTTAAATAAAAAATTAGTAGGAAGTTATTAGTTTAATACTAGGTATTAAAATCAAATGTTAGTAGAAGGTAAATAGATCTTAAGGCTAATTTAAGGTAGAATATTAGATTTTAAGTTGTATGATTTGGAAACATCATGGAGTAGTATAATTTAAGGAGATTATTTTTTTACAAGATCAGATCTTTGCTCAATGGACACTTTCTTGCCAAGCACTAACAGTAGAATAATCTTAAGAACTAGATTTTATAAGAGTATTATTCCTGAAAGCCATTGTTTTATTGAAGAATTTCAGTGATTGGTAGGAATTCAAATCAAGTGAATTTATGTAGTGAACAGTCACCAATATCAGACTATTTTATGGGTGTGAAATGATTAATGGCGCCAGTATCTGAATTTCGTATGTCTTATATTATCTTTGAATGTTTTCAGGAATAATGCTCTATTTGCAACACATTAGTAAACAAACATTGATAATGAATGCATTAATTACGAATCAACAATAACTGATAAGGTATCATTATAAAAATCTACAGAATTCATAATATTGGTGATGGTCATTATATAATAGATAGAAATATATCTAATTCTTATTTATTGTTTGTAGTATATTAGTATTGTTGCCTTTTGTTTATTTACTTAGGCTAATGGGGGTCATGGTCAACAATAATTGAATGTTTTGAGTGTTTTTGGAGCTGTAAGATATCTAAGACAAAGAAACATTTGAATGTAATTAATTTTAATATTTTTTATTATAACCCCATTATTATAATTTGCTTTATTTTAATTTTCTATTATATAGTTTGGTGCACTAGGTTTTATTGATTTTGAGTACAATATTCGTAAATGGTTAAAGTTTAATGATCCATGCTGGGTTTAATCTTGTCAGAATTGGTTTTTAAAAATGGCCAAAATTAGTCTCAGATGTTAGTTTTAAAAGGGTTTGATAATTTCACTTGCTTTTAATTTGTCAAATATATGTCCAAAAGATTTGTTCTAATACATATTGTGGGATTTTCATTATAGATTGATACACAATGTAGGCCTTTCAAAAACGGAAAAGTGTTGTGCGGTGTGAAAATATTAGATAGATTTAGAATCACTAACAATTCCCAGTATTGTACTCCCATGTATATTTTTTTAGTTGGATTTTTATCATTTTGTTTATTCGAAAACGACATTGGATATATATTATTATATATGTATGACTTATGTGTATAACTAGTCTTTGTTTTTATTACGCCATTATTATCATATCAACTTATTATGTCCAATATCATGGTTGTTTTGATGGACAAATGTTATTTTGTCTTACTACAAGTGCTCAAGTATTTAAGTTAGAAAAAGTAAAGGGAGATTTCCTTGAAACGCTTCCATGTTCAAACAGTCTTAAAGAGGTTAATGTTATAAAATCTAATACACTGTACAGATGATGATCCCTTATGCCCGGTTAACACTTTAATTTTTATCAGAAGTTTGTAAAGTTTACAGTGTAAACTTAGCATTAAACCAGCTAATCTTTAAAATGGGAAATTTAAGTGCCTTCTATTTAATTCTTCAAATGGATTACTGAAGTTAATAAGGGTGTATTATGAAAACTCAGGATTTTGTATCTATATTTTACCAAAGGCTGTACAGCTGTGATATCTAAGATCTCAGAAAGGTTGTAATGTAACTGATAATATCCTTCAATTTAATAAAAGTTCTAATATGGCTTTTTATGGCAGTATCTGTAAATTATCTTATAAATCCTTAGTATCGCAGGTTAAAGATTGTAAATTTAAGAGTGAAGTGGACATAATTTACTATAACAAATCAAGATATGCATGTTACATTACATCCTTAGATCTCAAAGATTAAAAATTCTACTTAGTTAATTTCCTTAATGTGAATAATTAAGAAAAGGAGAAAAGTATTTTGTAAGTCCCATTGATTGAGCCTTGTTAGTGATAGCACATATATATATATATATATATATATATATATAAAACATCTTTATTTCGAATATCTAACACCTAAGAGTAGCTTTAACTATAACCTTTTACTATATATATATATAATTCTAGATAGTTAGGTTATTTATAGTTGTTACATGATTGGTTTTAAATCATTCACTAGTTTATTCTGGTTAACTTAATATATACATCAAAGGAATAGTTGGTATTTGAGTTACAAAGAATTAAGATTTTGTTGAAAAAATATATATAAACAAGCTGGGCCATAGACAGTTACAGTAGATTGAGGGGGTTTCATTGATTTCAGAAGGGGCTATTACCTGGGGAGTTCTAAACCGTAGTTTGTGAGTAAGGCAATTTGGTGTCTTGCAAAGCTTACCATATTTTGCAAGAAAGGCAAATTGGTGTCTTGCAGAGCTTAGCCCACTTCGAAATTTAGTTTTTTGGTCAACTATAATGCTTATGCTTGAGATGCTGCAAATTGGGTTCATTGTGATAATTTGTGTGTGGGGGGGGGGGGGGCTGGGCTGGGAAAATGTTTTGTGTCTTTTTTTGAGTGTGTACTGTGAGGAGATGGATATGCTTTCCCAAAGTAAAAAAGAAAAATTAAAAATAATGGTCAATAGTCATGGTGAGTATATATTCAGTCAAATAAATTATTCTGAAATCTGTTATTATAACTGGCCCGGCAATTTAAATTCTATAGGCACATTTTTAATCACTGGGATGCTTCTGGTAATTGGTTCTAGTATAATAAGCTATGATAGTCAATCAAGATCTAAATTCTAAGTAAATGATGATCATGTTGGAATGAGATGATATATCTATTGGAATGACTGAAATCATATCAACTTTACTCAACATTAAATGTTGTATAGTTAATTCTAGTAACTGATGGATTATAACAAATTAGAATTTGTCAGTATGTAAATTGATAAATGTTTCCATCAAATGGAAGAAACTTTGAAAGTTGTTGTTTTGAAGATCTGAAATCTGTACATTTTCAATTCAAGTAGAATAAGAAAGCATTTAAGTCAAAAAGAGAACTGTTTTTATACAGCCTCATTGAAATCTGGTTGTATATCGTCGTCGCCCCCCGGCCGGCCGGCGTCCACAAGCAATTGACTTTAAATTCATACACATTGTTTAAGGTCATGAGACGAAGAAGCCTATTGATTTTCACCCTTGATCACTTTGAAAAATCTTGTGGACGCTCTTGAGGCTAAAGTTAATATCCAAATGACTTTAAATTTATACACAGTGTTTAAGGTCATGAGGCGAAGAAGCCTATTGATTTTCAGCGATTTCCGATAATTTCTGCCAGAGTTATGGCCCTTGATCACTTTGAAAAATCTTGTGGACACTCTTGAGGCTAAAGTTAATATCCGATTAGCTTTAAATTTATACACAGTGTTTAAGGTCATCAGACGAAAAAACCTATTGATTTTCAACAATTTCCGATAATTACTGCCTGAGTTATGGCCCTTGATGACTTTGAAAAATCTTGTGGATGCTTTCATCTGATTGCTTTTATATCTATACACCATGTTTATGCCTATATATAATCGTTTCTATTGACTTTAGGTTGATACACAGAGTTTAAGGTCTTGAAACGAACAAGTACA